AAAAAAAGACATTTTATAAAAAAGACACCCACGCCCAAATGTTCATAGCAGCACAATTCATAATTGTAAAGATGTGGAAACAACCCAAGTGCCCATCAATCATGAATGGATTAATGAAATGTGGTATATGTATACCACGAAGTACTACTCAACCATAAAAAAATGGTGAACTAATACCTTTTGTATTAACCTGGATAGAACTGGAGACCATTCTTCTAAGTGAAGTATCACAAGAATGGAAAAACACCACATGTACTCACCATGAAATTGGAACTAATTGAACAACACTTACGTGCACATATGGAAATAAAACTCATTGGAAATCAAGCAGATGGGAAGAGGGAGGAGGGGATGAGTACATTCACACCTAACAGGCACAATACACACTATCTGGGTGATGAGCACACTTATAACTTTGACTCAAACTGTACAAAAGCACTTTATGTAATCAAAACGTTTGTACTCCCGTAATACTCTGAAAATAAAAACAAACCCATAGTTTATTGAGAGAGAGATCGATTCAGAACTTGTTCCTGAGCATTGGAGCTGCCTATACCCCTTACCAACTGGAGAATTTTCTCCAGTAAATCTTGGCAGACATAGGAAAGAATAGAGATAGTGGCTGATTGGGTTAATGTGAGATTAGGGATTTGGATTAGGGGCAAGCTTCCTACTCTTGCCATGTATACGCCCTTCAAGGGTCTAGTCTCTGTCCCCTGCACTACGATTTCAAATGCAAAGCTCCCTTCCCTTTGTCTGGGTGTGGTGGTTCATGCATGTCATCCTAGCACTCTAGGAGGCTGAGGCAGGAAGATGGCTTGAGTTCAGGAGTTTGAGACCAGCCTGGGCAACATAGCGAGATCCAAGGGCAGGCACTGGCACTTCTGGCACTCAGGAAGGGAGAAAGGATAACGAGTAGAAAGAAATGCCTAAAGAGTTTCATGATGTAGTGGGAAAGACTCCCAGGAGGCCAGAGAATTTTATCTCCAATCCTGACTCGGCCATCACTTCCCTGGTGGCCTTGGGCAAGTTGCTTTCATTCTCTATAAAGTGACAAGTTGAACTAGATGATCTTAAAGATCACCTCCATCTCAAAAAGTTTATTCTCCATAAGGAGAGCAACCATATATATATATATTTTTTTGGTCTCCCCAGCATCTAGCACAGTGCCTGGCACATAGTAAGGATTCAGGAAATGTTGCAATTAGAGAATGAATGAATAAATAAGTGAACAAATGAACAAAATGCTAGAAAAATGAAGTTCTTAGACATGGCCAGACATTAAAAGGATTTGTTCTGCAAAATTTGGATCCAGTCAAAAGGCTGCACTCAAGGATCCAGAAGGCCACACATGTGGCCCCAAGGCCACAGGTTCCCCATCCTGGGAAGGCTTTAGCCTAGAAATGAATAAAGGTAAATAAAGAAATGATCAGAGGACCAGATGTTTTAAATGGATAGCAGAATCCTGGAATTCTGACCTAGCCTCTTTTCTCCAAGCCAAGAGAAAATTGGTCCAACACATTAAACAGTTATCTTAACTATCAGATTGGCAAGGTGGTTCTGGGTGGGCAGAAGAGTAGACATGGATCTGAGAGATACAGTGACTGCACAAAGTCACAGGAACAGCCCGTGAGGCCAGGAGGCAGGCCATGGGGCTCACCTGACCTCGGCTGCACACTCCCCTCTGCCACCCTCGTCAGGCTCATCCCTGTCTCCAAAGCCCACACATCCTGGAACCCCGCCTGGATCTCTCTCACCGCCTAGGTTTCCCCTATGGGTTCATCAAGCCCACTGCTGATTTACTGTCCTGAAGGGCTCCTCTCCTCCCCCAGCGCTCCAAGGGAACTTAACATCAAACATTATCATAATTAGCCAGCAGAGGGCAAAAAGGCTTTCAATATGTTGGAATCCTTGAAAAAGCCTCACTCTTTTGCCTACCCACCTTCTGCCTTCTCTTTTTCCCCATTGCAGCTTCTGCAGTAGGTAGAGATGGAGGGAATGAAAGCGAAGGACCCAATGAGGCATTTTTTTTTCAGTTAGGACGGAGCTCATGTGGAGATCAGGAGGATGAGGGGTGGAGAGGGCATATCCTGGACTCATAGCTCTAAAAGGGGGTTTGGGGACGAAAGCAGAGTCAGCGTACTGTTGAGCTCTGGCTCCACAGATTGGAGCAGGAAAGGTGAAAGGGCAGCGGGGGTGACAGAGGTTAGCAAGACTACAGGGACAGAACTGAGGCATGCCCAGGTCCACTCAAGTCCTCACAGGCTCAGCATTCCCAGTGGGGAGGGAACAAGAAGCTGTGACTTCCTCTCTCCTTTCCCTCCCTGCTCTTAGCCTCAAAGTCACTTGCTGCCAAGATGAATTCCAACCTGTTTTAATTGGCCCTGTTCCCTGAGCATGATAATAACTGCTCAGTGTCCTGCTCCCTTCCACCACGAACACCCCAGACATCTCCTTTGAAATAATCATCATTCATGCAAATACATACAAAGAGCTGTTTCACATGTATCACCAATTCTGTGAAGCAGAGACTTTTATCTGAAAATTTTATGCAAGGAGACAGGCTCAGGGGAGTGAAGTAGCTTACCCAGGCACACAGCTGGTGAGTAGCAGGCCTGAGACTCCAGAGTCTCAGCTCTTTCCTCTCTGACACCCATTCTGATTCCCCGCCTCGCCCCCTCCCAGCCCCCTTCCCCTGGGCCTCAAGGAAGCACTTTCTGCAGAGAAGGGGTGTGTATGTGGGGCTCTGCACAGTTAGGAACAGAGGAGGCCGTCGTCTCTTTCCTGTCATCCCTGGGCAGGGAATTCCTAGCTTCCTCCCTGGGGTAGAGGGTTGGGGCCGCCCTCCACAGTGGGATAACTCCCCCTTCTCCCCTCCTTCTGTGCCAGTATAGAGCCCTTCTCTCTCTCACACACACACACTCTCTCTCTCTGTCTCATCCCAGTTGGGGCTCTTCCTTGCCCTGCCCCACCCACCACGAAGCTGGACCAAGGAAGGGGTGGGTTGTCCCATCCACACCCCTCCCTCTGAGATGTGGGCGTGGGCTAGAGCTCCTGGCAGCCAGCCATAAACAAACACTCAGACCTAGAGCCTCCCACTGACAGCCTGCAGTGGCCTCTGCCAGTCTGGCAGGTACCTGTGGACCTCTCTGCTCAGCACCAACCTCTGATGCCCTGCGATGCCCACACCCAATACCTCTGCCTTTCCACCCACGTTCTTCTGGGTCAACACCTCTGGAGGCAGCGTGCTGAGCGCTGATGATGCTGCTATGCCTGCTGAATTCCTAGCTCTGAGGGTCATGGTTGCCCTGGCCTATGGGCTTGTGGGGGCCATCGGCTTGCTAGGAAATTTGGCCGTTCTGTGGGTACTGGGTAACTGTGCTCGACGAGCCCCTGGCCCACCTTCAGACACCTTTGTCTTCAACCTGGCTCTGGCGGATCTAGGGCTGGCACTCACTCTCCCCTTCTGGGCAGCCGAGTCGGCACTGGACTTCCACTGGCCCTTTGGAGGTGCCCTCTGCAAGATGGTCCTGACGGCCACTGTCCTCAACATCTACGCTAGCATCTTCCTCATCACGGCTCTGAGTGTTGCTCGCTACTGGGTGGTGGCCATGGCTGCAGGGCCAGGCACCCACCTCTCGCTCTTCTGGGCCCGCGTGGCCACCCTGGCAGTGTGGGTAGCGGCTGCCCTGGTGACGGTGCCCACAGCCGTTTTTGGGGCTGAAGGTGAGGTGTGGGGTGTGCGCCTCTGCCTGCTGCGTTTCCCCAGCAGGTATTGGCTGGGGGCCTACCAGCTACAAAGGGTGGTGCTGGCCTTTGTGGTGCCCTTGGGCGTCACCACCACCAGCTACCTGCTGCTGTTGGCCTTCCTGCGGCGGCGGCAACGGCGACGGCAGGACAGCAGGGTCGTGGCCCGCTCTGTCCGCATCCTAGTGGCCTCCTTCTTCCTCTGCTGGTTCCCCAACCATGTGGTCACTCTCTGGGGTATCCTGGTGAAGTTTGACCTGGTGCCCTGGGACAGCACTTTCTACACCATCCATACTTACGTCTTCCCTGTCACTACTTGCCTGGCACACAGCAACAGCTGCCTCAACCCTGTGCTGTACTGTCTCCTAAGGCGGGAGCCCAGGCGGGCTTTGGCAGACACCTTCCGGGACCTGCGATCGAGGCTGTGGCCCCAGGGCCGAGGCTGGGTGGAACAGGTGGCCCTAAAGGAGGTAGGAAGACCGTGGGTAGTGAACACCCTCCCAGAGAGGGGCCCATCTACCATGCTTACCAACCTGGACAAAGGAACACCCGGGTGAAGGGTGCAAGCTGAACACTCTCCTTTCTGAGATCTCGAAGGTATAGGATCCTTGCACCCCAGGGAGAAGCTGCCCTCTCTGCCAGGCTGCAGCACCCTCAGGGAAAAGTCTGATCTCTGATCCCCAACTCTGGGTGTGGGGGAGGCGGGGGCCGGATCAGGACTGGGTGTGACAAAGCTTAAGTCTCTATTTGGAAGTGGGAAAGAGGAGGCTCTGAGAATAAACCTCTGGATTATCCACAAATTGTCTTGACCTTTTATCCCAGCACCACCTCCAGTTCAGTGTGGAACAAAAGGATTTGTTGCCCCATTTCTGCTTTCTGTAAGAATTCCCAGGAGATTTTTCCTAAGGATTCCAGGCTGTTGGATCAGAGGTCAGTGCCCATCTCTTTCTGTCTGTCCTCTCTATCCCTCCACGTTCACCTAAAATAGGGTTTCCTGTGTCCTTGTACCAAGGTCAAAAATGCCCTCTCCCTCTGGCCATCCCCACCATCTTACCTTATCAGTGGTGCCCACAGATGCTCGCTACCTGCAGAGGCCTCAGCTGCAAAAGCTGCAGTTCCCCTGCAGGGATGCCAGGTGTGGGGTCTTGCTGAGATCCCTGGCACCTGCCAGGTTCTGGGTGTAAAACCCTAGTGCTGACTAGGAGTACCTGTGGTGTCTCCCTTGAAATCAGGATTTGAAGAGACAAGTGAAGATAATGACAAGTCAAAGACTTAGGTGGGGCAAAGAGAGGTGAGAAATATAGAAAGGATTGGGAGATCAGGCTGAAGGTAGGGCCAGAGAAGTGGAAATCACGGAAGGTGGTGCTATCAATTTGGGTGTCAGAGCACCTGGATTTGAACCTTTACCTTGGGCAAATTACTTTATCTGTACCTCAGTTTTCTTATCTGTAAAATGGGCTGTTGAGGATTCAACTGCCTGAAATATAGTGTTGGCTATTATTCTTATACTTTGTAATGGAGACAGAGAAGGAAAAGGAGGGTATCCTGGTGAAGTCTGACCTGGTGCCCTGGTCAGGGGACAGCTGGAAGATGGGGGCAGGGAGCCGTGAAGGTCTCATCTGGAATGTTTTTACATGCTCTAAGTGGGGTATAATGAAACTGAGGGGTTGGCCCCTCAAGCCCCTCTTGAAGGTATATTCTCCAGGGCAGGGGCGCCCTTTTGGTTTCCATGTTCATTGCGACTCATTAGTGATAAAAGCCATCAGAAGGGACTTCCTGGGGGACAGCCCTTGGAAAGAAGGGAGGAGGCAGAGGAAAGATGAGGTGGAGCTTCCACTTCCACTGTCCTTGCTCCTTACCTCACCAAGCTCTCCAGCCTGCTTGTACCCCAGGACAACACTGGCTGCTCAAGGTCCTGGAGCAACAGCTGGGAGCAGTGAGTGGGGAGCCCCCTGCCCCAGTCCCAGTCTATTGCTGAGCAGAAGAGGCTCTAAAGAGCCACCCAATTCACAACATACTAAGCAATGTGAAAGAGATTTAATTAGCCTCTTGACGTTTAATTTCCTCTTTTTGATAATGTTTAAACCGGTCCCAAAACTCCAGCCAGTTCTCAGCCAGTTTGGAAGGATGGAAAATCTTCCTCTACCTAAGTATCCCTCTTCCCACCCCCAGCGGCTCCTGTTAGCTTTGCTGGGCTCCGGATATTGGCTCCTCTGGGGGTATCTCAGCTTTATGGGACCAGGAGGTAAATATTGACAAAGTTTACATAGGTCCAAGTCAGAGATGAATGAAGGTACATAGACCTACTCTTGGAGGTGGCAGAGGGAGGCCTGGGCACGGCAGGAGGCTTGTGCTCTCAGAATGGAAGGCAGGCAATATTTTGGGGAGAAGCTGGGCCCTGGCTCCCCAGAGCACAAAGCCAGAGGGCTCTGAAACTGCAGCAGGAGGGATAGAGGTTAAGACTGTGTGTTCCCAAACATGGGATTAGGGAGGGGACAAGAGACAGAATGATCAAAGATGTAAGGGAGGGACCTAGCTCTCAGGAACCCACAGAGAAATGCTCTGATGCCATGTTTCAGGGCTGAAGACGAGGAGGGGTTTCAGTAAAGGGAAGGCAAAGGGACAGCACTGCTGAGAATAAGGCAGTGCTGCCCACCAGTCAGCTGTGGGCTTCACACCTACTCTGGGATCTGTCTCTAGGTTTCACTGTTTCTCTCCTGACTGGTACCCCTCGCTGGACCCGTGGAGGGTGTTGATAGAACCTGCCCTCCCTTTCTTGGTGGTCACTGCATGCTATCAACTATCCCCACCCCACCCACCAGCCTTCCTCCCTCTACTCCACCTTTACAGCTTTGGGTCCCAGCTGCTTCCAGCTGACATGGCAGACACCTGCTAAGCCATCTGTTGGTGTGTTTGAAACCTGAAGCACTGGTATTTTTAGGCAGAGTAGCCAAGAAGGGGGAAGTGGAAGATTGAAACTAAGAGGGCTGGACCCTTTCTGGCCTGGCAACCTTTCTGTACCCAGGTTTCCCTGTCTGTAAAGTGAAAACAATTCCTCCCTCCCAGGATTCCTGCAATGGATGACAAAGCACCTTGTAAAGGCCAGATGCCGGTGGGTGAGAGTTACAGGCGTGGAGGGTGCTGGCTGCTCCCTGAGCCATGTGATTTCAATTCCTCTTTCTAGCTGAGGTCCCGCTGAGGGCCTGAGCCCCATTCTTCTCATCGTCCCCACAGGCTCCAACAGAGACGTCCACATTTACATAACCCCAGACGCTCCCCTCCTTCCCTCCCTCCCACCCCCGGCCCCAAAGTTGGGTATCAACCAGAAACAGGAAGTAACCAAAACCAAGAACTGAAACCAGCTAATCCCTCACTGCCTCTCAAAGAGGCAAAAAGCAAATGAACAGCTCCTGCAAGGGTCACCCCAAGGCACTGATACTAAGGAGATGAACAAGGGCAGAGTCGGGGCTGCATCCGGAAACTAACACTGGGGCAGAGACTGACAGGAACTGTGCCGAAAGGGGGCAACAGGCTGAGACTTCCGAGTACAGCATACAAATGAGATGAAAACAAGCTCTCTGATATTGGGATCCCCAACACTGGAACCCGACCGAGTGTCCTTTCATTTTTATCCTTGTATTTGTGAATTAAAACAAAAAAAGATTTGCAGCAGCTACTTTTGTCAGTGCCCCTCTCTTCAGTGAGGCAGAGACTGCCCTTCCGGTGAGAGGGAAAGTCCCCTTTCAGAGGGACGTTGGTCACTGCCCTGCTCTCCCCTCACCGTCACCCTCAGAACTGACAGACATTATGAGAGACAGCACCTCATGGGGTTCCAGGTCTTTAATTTTCCCTGCTTGATCTTTTTTTGCTTTGTTTTGTTTTTCAACACCAAATTGGCAGAAAAATGGCCGGGGCTGGTGGGCATGGGGCGGTCCATTGAGAAATCCCCAAAATTCACACTGAGGTTTCAGGTGATGGCTGCTGAGATGGAAGACGAGGTCAGGGTTCCTAGAGATTTCCCAGCCCACCCTAGAACTTTTTTGCAAATGCTGGGGAAGAGGTCAGTACAGGTCCTCCATTACTGTTGATGAAGGCAGAAGTCGTTTTCTCCCCCACCCCCGACTTGTTCAGAGATGTGGAAGTAGAAGGCTGCGATCTCTAATTGCCTACGATCTTCTCTTAAAAATATAAAACACGTGCAGTTGGCTTTGGTACAAAAAAGAAAAGAAAAGAACAACAAAACATTCTCGTCCCTGTAGATTTTTTCCCCTGCACCCCTAACAAACCATTATGGCACCCCGACTTCTATTCCATCAACTCTAGGAAGCCAGGTTATCGCCCTAGGGCTCCCATAGAGGACAGAGAGAAGGGAGGACAGTGGTAAGAGGTGGAGGGGACCGGGCAGAGGGACATGGCCCTGCCCACAGCCCTCCTTAAAGGGCAGTAGGGTCCTGTGGCTGCAGCCTCTCCTCAAAGATGGGGGTTGCTGGGGAGGGGTGTTAGGGCTAGAACCCGGCAGCTGCATGGTTAAGCCTGAATATACCCCAGTAGTGTTAAAGGACAAGGCCCCCTGATCCCTATGGCTTGGTTCCCATGTCCCTGGTCCTTTAAATCCCCCCTCTTCCCCATAACTAATAAACAATAAATAAATAAATTTTCCTAAAGTAGAGGGAAGAAGGCATGAAAAACTGGCATCTGTGGTGGAGCTTTGGATGCCACCTGGGGGTACTGTGGCCTAATTCCCCCAGCTGCTTAAATGGCCCCAGGCATCCAAGGATCCCAAGAGCTGGCAAGAACAATCAGCAGTTCTTTCAAATGTTCCCTCATCATTGGCAAATTGGAGTCCCCAAGGTTTGCCCCCCTCAGTAATGTTCTTCAGTGGGGCACAGGGCAGGGGGAGGGGCCCCCTTAGCTCTCCGAGGCTATAGGCTCCCCGTCGCGGCTCTCCGTCTCCTCCGGGATGTCCTGCATTCGGGTGAAGTCTGGAGGGGGACAGGGCAAAGCCAGTTAGTAAGTGGGGGCTCCCATGAGGAACTGCAGTCCCACAATAATGCCTCCCCATCTGCGGGCCCAGGGGCTCTGAGGGTTGTGAAGGATGGCAGAGGTCTGTGAGTCCTTGCAGGAGGGGAAAACCTGCCAACAAGGTAACTATGTACCCACACCTAGGTACACACCTGATACACTTTTTAAGTATACAAAGATATAATTTGACTGATAAAATACAAAACACTTTAAGATTGTAATATGAAGTCACAATAGCTTTTCTATTTCCTGAACCTGACTATAAGAACTTGGAGGTCTCTGAAATTTTTTTACTTTAAAAATCCATTTCTCACCAGGCACAGTGGCATACACCTGTAGTCACAGCTACTCAAGAGGCTTGAGCCCAGGAGTTCAAATCCAGCCTGGGCAACACGGTGATACTCTTGTCTCTTAAAAAAAAAAAAAAATCCATCCCTACTTGAAAAGGTTGGGAATCTCCGACCATCTGGAGAAGGAGAGGCCCCTACGCACTCTCCTTCCTAGAGTTCCACCACTCATTCATCCTCAGACAAAACAGGAAGTCCTCTCTGTGTCCCTCCCTACAGTTACTATAGGTCTCAGGGGTCGGTTGGGGCCCATTTGGAAGCCACAGCCAAA